CAGGCTTTAGGTGCCTGAAGGACGCCCTCCCCTTGGTCCATACTTTCGGAGCATATGTCCTTTTCCTCCAGTGCGACAACCCGGTGGTTCGGCTAGTGTGTCCTCTGCTATTAGAACCTGGTCGCTCGGTTCTCTGATCTTGGGCCCCGGTTCGAATTTAGCCCTCCTGTAATACCATCGTAGATCACTACTATCTCCAAACTTGGGACTTGCCAAATAGGTTTTCAGTTATTCCGGTTCCTCGGATTTATTGTGCCAAAGCTCCCATAACTAGATAGTATGACCGAGATTACAGATTTCTAGATCCAACTGATAATCGATAACTGTAAACCGTAACACAAGCTATTTTTCAAAATTCGTTGTCTGTGGGATTTGAACTCTAGACCTGCCACTTGAAGAGGGTGACAACTAGACCACTACACTAAGTTGTCACACCTCTAAGACAATTATTATTACTTAATAAAAAATTAAAAAAAATTAAAAATTATGTACCTTTCAAAAAAATCAGAATAACTCTGAAATCAAAATCTCTACATATCTATATAGGGCCACTTAAATCGGGTAGCGAAGCCGCCCACGTGTGCTATTCTAGTTGCAATAAAACCTTCAAATTTAATAGAAATCGGCTTTTTTTTTCTTTTATACGTTACAGCTAATCTAACCAATAAGCATTGGGTGATAAATTTGACTACATTCAGTTTGTTTTTTATATTATACCTAATCTAGCCAATAACTGTTAGTTTTGATTGTTTTTTTAAAAAACATATGGGCCAATTTGACTCCATTTAATTTTGTCACATGTGACAAAAAATTTTTTTATTAAGAAAAAAATGTACGCACATATGTATATAAACTCCCAGTTTATAAAAAAAAGAAAAAAATTCTTTTTTCTAATATGTATTGATTTATAATTGTTAGGTTTCTCTTGAAACTTCAACTTTCACTGTGGTTTTAGCAGATTTTACCTTTTGTCTTCTCCAATATTTAATATGTTTTTCATTTGTAAAAAGCCTTTCTCAGATATTTTATCTTTTTTTTTTAACATTTTAAAAAACATAATTTACTCTAAAATAAATATGTATTATTAACAACTTGGTATTACAATAAACATAATTTCATAATATTTACTAACGCTCATGACACTCATACTATTACATATTGCAGTAATATATATAGTATTTACCTCACTATATCTAAATTTTACTATACTTAAATTTGGCTTATTTACTTCGTTATACTGTATATGCTTCTTATATGTGCTTACAAGTTCTAATTAAATTAGTTCCGTATTTATAACTAACCTATAAACGTTAAAATAAATAAAGTTTTTTTGTAAGCACCAAAAAACTTGATATAAAATTTTTATTTTCATTTTAACATGTTAACAATTTAAGCATTTAAATATATTGACTTGCCCTTTGCTCATTTCTGCAAAAAACTAATTTAAAACTGATTTAGGGATTGCTTAAAACTGTGATTGCAAGAAGTTTTCTTTAAAATGATTAGTCTAAAAATAAATTTTGTAATTTTTAAATGATAATTTGAATCATCTAATTGATTTTTAGTGTAAGACAAATTTGAAAACATCACAAATGAAACTCATTCCTAATTCTTACCAAGATCACGAGTACTTAAAGCTAATTTTATTGGTTTCTGCCCATTTTAGAAGTATATGCATTATGTATTATTATATTACTTCTTTTTTTTTTTTATGTATATATATATATAAGTGCCTGTGACTGACCTCTCTTCTTTCCCAGGCCATTTTATTTTGGTTTCTGCCATCTGCACAAAATAAGGTGTTTTGCGTATATTAATTGAATAACCAAGTTTTTTTTATAAAAAAAAAAAAAAAAAAAAAACTTTCATAGTCAATAAAACTTAACAACACATGCCTTCTAAAGACAATAATATAATATTACTAGAACAGGATCTTTTAGAAAGAAATGACATTTCATGAGATGATAATTTCAATGATGATAAAGCCCTCTCTTCAAATGATGAGAACTCTCAAGAAGAGGATTCTGACTACACTTATAACCCAACCCTGGAGATGGTATCTCTCCTGGTTAAAATATTCAAAGGAAATAAGCTATCCATTAATAATAAAAAAAGGATACTCCAGAACATTCTACGAAATAGACAGATTATATCTATATCACCATCTATAGACAGACAATTATCTCAAAAGTTGCCAAAAGACGTTAAAGCAACTGATAAAATACTTTCAAAGATATCATACTGCACATCAGCAACTCTCGGACCGTTGAACTATTCTCTTAAGACTCTATATAATATGAAGCCCGCAGAAAATAAAAAAGAAGCTCTTGAAGTCTGGGCAATATTGGAACAATCATTGCTAGCAGCTAGGTCTCTGTTACTGGATTTTCTCTCTTATACCACACAGGTTAAAAGAGACTTGACTATCAAAGCTATCATTCCTTCCTATCAACCCAGGGCTAAGCATGAAGAGTTGTTTGGTGAAGAACTTGCTGATTATGTTAAAAAAGAAATGAAATTTCAAAATTCTTTAATGATGTTGCATGGCAAAAAAGAAGGTTAGAATCATTTGGTAAGAGAAATAACCACAAAACAAACAAGAACTTTAATACAAACAGGTATAGAGGCAGAGGTAGAGGATTCCATAGGGAATTTGGAACCTCAAGTTATAGGCAAAATTTTCGGCCAGATCCTCTACAAAGAGGTCAGTCTTAGTCCCAAATACAAATATAAGGTTAGATAGAAGATTAAGATCTTTTTTAAACAAATAGCAAAATCTTTGCAAAGATCTCTAAGTAGTGAAACTTTTACACGATGGCTATCTTCCACTCTGGGATATGTTACCTTTATTAAAGATCCAACCTATTTTAAAAGAATCTTTATCAGAAGAAACTTTTCATACTATAATATCAAAAATAAGCAAATTATTGGAGAAGAGTATTATTACAGAGTTTGATAAGAACTTATCATGTTTTATCTCAAAACTTTTTTGTGTCCCCAAAAGTTTCAGAGAACTTTGCCCGGTTATCGATCTTCATTTACTAAACAACCATATAAAACACCAACATTTCAAGATAGAAAGTATGGATCTAGTAAAAGACACATTACAAAAGAATGATTTTTTGACAAAAATAGATATCAAAGACGCCTTTACTCATATACCAGTAGCAAAAAGTTTTTTAAAATACTTAACCTTTGATTTTGGGGAACACCGTTTTGCCTTCAAAGCTCTCCCTTTTGGTTTGACCTCAAGTTCAAGAATTTTTACAAAAATATTATGTCCAGTAGTGAAATAGGCGAGATCTTAGGGCATTTGGCTAATAATCTATCTAGACGATATTCTTATAATGGCTCATTCGAAGAAGCAAGCACATCTATATACTCAGAAAGTAATACAAATGCTGAAAAGATTAGGATTCTTAATAAATATGGAAAAATCGCACCTAGTTCCTACGAAAAACCTGAAATTCCTAAGATTTTTTATAGATACGAATTTGATGTTAATAAAGCTATCCAAAAAAAAAATAAACAAAATAAGAAAAGAATATCTAAAATTGTCGAATACAAGAATGATTCATATTTAAAAACTAGCAGCCATTCTAGGAAAACTTTCGGCCTGTACAAACGCAGTGTTTCCAGCAAGGCTATATTCAAGAGCTCTTCTCAGAGACAAAAACCAAGCCTTAGCTCAGGAGGTTGAAATTCGATTGTACGTTTCTCTCCAAAAAGCATTGATTAGCTAAAGTGGTGGTCTCGAGAACTATTGAACTAGAACGGTTAGGTGATAACCCAACAAGAACCAAGTTTAACCTTGACAACAGATGTGTCCCATCTGGGATAGAAGGTGGTAATGAACAATCAAGTGATTTATGGCATATGGAATCAATTCGAGAAGAACCTTTATATAAATCAGTTAGAGATTCTAGCAGTGAAGAAAGCAATAGAATTATTTTCAGAATTGAGCTCGATGAGTGTGAGATTGGAATCGAACAATATGACAATGGTGGCATATATAAACAATCAGAGTGGCACTATTTCAAAAAATGTAAGTCAAATAGCAGAGATGATTTGGAAGAATTGTTTGAAGAGACAAATCAATTTGATCGCTTACTATGTTTCCGGGAAGGAGAATTGGCTAGCAGATACTGCGTCCAGGTTGAAGTTGGAGCGCCAAGACTGGTCGATTTGGAAAAGTTTGTTCAGGAAGATTAATCAATTGCTGGGACAATACAATATAGATTTGTTTGCGAGCAGGTCCAATAGAATACTCCCAAGGTATTGTTCCCTTATTTCAGACAGAAAAGCCCTGACTACAGATATATTGCAACTTCTGTGGAAAGGATAGAAGCCTTAAACAAACCCTTCTTGGATATTAATACCCAAAGTTTTAAACAAAGTAATTCGAGAGAAAGTGATGATAACTCTAATTTTTCTTTTGTAGCAAATGGCACTCTGGTTCTCTATCTTACTTTATCTTCTAGCAGATCTCCCAGTTATAATTTTACCAAACTCAATTATTCACAATTATCAGAGATCGAACAGGAGGATAGGACTTTAGAATCTTTGTATAGCGTGTTTATTAGAAAACACTTATCGAACAAGAGCCTTCAAGAAGGAGATATTAACTTATTTTCTGCGGCATATGATCCAAAAGCATCAAAAACGGTTTCCTCAAATATCAGAGTGTAGTGTGATTGGTGTGAACAATGGGACAAAAATCTCACTTCTTGTGATTTGGTAGTTATAATTCAGTTTTTAAAAGAACAATTAGATTAAGAGAAAGCATATAACACAATAGCAGGTTATAGGTCTGCTATTAGTGAAATACATGATTTAATCGAAGGCAAGAAAGTAGGATCTTACCCCGATATTGTTCAAGTCATGAAAGAAATTTATAATTCGAATTTACCTCCTCCACATTCGAACGAGGTCATAAGTATTACACCATCATTTGACTATATTTTAAACTTAGGCTCAAATAAAACAATGACAATTTTAAGCTTATTACAAAAGACAGCCTTCTTAATTGCAATAACCACTGCGGCCTGCCTATCTAACTTAACTAAGATGGATCTTGAGACAGTACGAGCAGTAGAGAATAGTTACATTGTAGAAGTGCAGAACCTCAAAGAATCAAAAATTTTTAGATCTCATGGTGGCAAGAAAAATGTATCTAAAACTATATTTATAGGTGTATATCGAGATAAGCCTGAATTATGTCCAGCTTTTGCCTTTGCAGAATGTGTAAATAGAACAAGTAATTGGAGAGATACACCTGCTAAAGTAACCTCACTTTTTTTAACAAGCACTAAATCACACAACTCGGCATCACCTGACACAGTATCAAGATAGATACGAGATATTTTAAAGCATTCTTCATTAGATTTGAAATCAAAGAACACTAGAATGATGACTGCCTTTTTTGCTCAAGACTCTAGTACAGAATTGACAAAGGTTCTAGCACTAGGAAATTGGGCTAGTAACAAAACATACCATAAGTTCTACCAAAGAGGTGTATTAAAGATGCTAGCGAAGAACAATATTATGGCTTCAATTCTAAATCAAGCTAGACTGGAATGCTTCGAATAGGCACTTGTGATCTTGGTGAAAATTAGTACTGAGTTTCATTTATACAAATAGACGAGAATAACGAAGTTCATTTGGAAATAGAATGAAGGACTAAGAATCACCAAGATTATGTACTACCCACCTTTTTACGCCCTTTCTGCTATATTCACATCATAAAAAAAAAAAAAGACAAAAAGACAAAAAAAAAAAACAAACACTTGCTTTCAATTTGCATATACTTAAACACTAGTGTAGCATAATCTTCAATATCTTATATTTTTAGATTAAAGTATAGTATTAGAATTTAAAAGTAATAACAGTATGGTGTCACATGAATAAAATAGCCTGGGAAAGAAGAGAGATCAGTCACAGGCACTTATATATATATATATATATATATATATATATATATATAAATATATATATATATAAATATATATATAATATAATAATACATAATGCATATACTTCTAAAATAGGCAGAAACCAATAAAATTGACCTTAGGCACTCATGATCTTGGTGATTCTTAGTCCTTTGTTTCAATTTCAAATGAACTTCATTACACTTGTCCATTTGTATAAATGATCGTTAATGGAATCAAATTGGCACATATGTTCTTTTACATTACACCTAATCTAGCTAATCAGGTTTCAGAATTTGTTAACATACAGACATCAGGTGTACTATTGAACTACCCAGTAGTGTTCTTCGGACAACTAGGTAAATGGAAACCATTCAAAGTCTGAAGGACCAAATATAAATTTTAAATTTAATTTATACTATATTATATATATAAATTTGATTATAATAATAAACTTGTCAGTTTGTATTTTATATTACACCTGATCTAGCCAATAAACAATAGTTTCGGTTATTTTTTTTAAATATTTTACATTACACCTGATCTAGCCAATCAGGTTTCAGAATTTGTTAACACATGGACATCAGATATACTATTGCTCTACCCAGTAGTATCTTTCAGACAATAAATTTGTACTAATTTAGGTTATATTTGTAAAAATGATAAAATTTCTTTAGAAGAGTGGGTTGCACCAGTAAAATGATGTTCAATAGAGAACCCCCCTATTGCTATCTATTTATGGCACCAAAGGAGGTTAATAGGGTATCAATTAGAGCAATAGTACTCAATAGGGTACCAATAAGGTACCAATCAGGTACCAATAGGGTATCAATAGGGTCAATAAGATTTTTACTGATTGTAAACTATTTAGTTAATAGTCATCAATCAAGGCCAATAGGGTATCAATCGGGTATCAATCGGGTTCAATAGGGGTTTCTAATTGTAAATGAATGAAAAAAAATTGTTCAAAACATTATTAAAAATTTGATTTTATACTTTAACAAAAGATAGCGTGAAAATTGATAAACATCCAACTATAGTTTGATTTGTATTTTAATCCCACCAATATCGATACAAGAAATTAATAAATAAGTTTTTCGAACATATTAAATTATAAATTTGATTTAGAATTAAATTTAGATGATATACTGTGTGAAGAACCAGGTATTGTGTTCGGGAATATATTATAAATTAGTAAATCATTATGTTCCCAGATCTTATTCAAGAACAGTAAGATTAGTGAATAATACCCAAATAAGTATTACAGTTAGATCTTGTTATAATCACCGGTTTGGGAAACTAAATTTAGGTGATTACAAAAAGGTGTGGCTATATTAAAAAACCTTTATATAGTCACAGTAATAGTAAATAAAAAAAAAATAAGGTGATTATATAAAGGTTTAGAATTACTAATTTCCTGCTACGACTAATATTTAATTTTGAATTTAGTATAAGTGTGGCCGCATATTTCTATTTATATATAATTTGTTACATAATGTTACCAAAAAATTTTATAAAAACTAGGTACTTAAATATTTGAAGAGAGTTAATTAGTTGATTAATATAGAAGAATATTTTGATTAGTAAACAAAAAAAAATCGTTTGATTATTAGGTAATCTTAAAACTACTACTATTTTATGGTATAAAATTATCATATTGGAGTAGTTCTAAGAAATCACCAGTAATATCTAATACTCAAGAGATTTCTTTTTTTTATCTGCAAAATTCTGAAAATCATAAATTTGAATTGTCAAATACTTACTTGGGCCAATTAATATTGAATGGCTTATTTTCAAATAGTTAACTATAATTGATTGATCAGCCAACTTTATTTATACGAGAAACGGTTATACATAACATTATGTGTGTTACTTCTATGAGCAAAACTATAAACATTAATGATCTACGGCAGCTATAGAGCCTAATCAAGGTCCTTGCACTGCCCTTAGTTTATGAGTTACTAAGAGATGGGCAGAGGGATGAGTGATAGTGAAAATAAACATTACAACGCATTTGTAAAATACCCCAAATTTTAAAAAATTTGACTGCTAATATGTAAATAGTAATTTTGGCTAAGATAGTCAATGCTTCCCAGGTTAAGGTGCATAATTATAATAAATTTATATGTCTAATGAAATGTGTCAAAGATTGAAAAGATGGGTTAGACACATTTTTATTATAGATCGGAGTGCCAATAAATTTTTTTGGGTTCCACATTAAAAAATTGATTATAAATTTTGTCCCCAAAACTTAAATTTGGGGAACAAAAAATTAGTTAAATTTTACAGACGCACCATAATGAGATCACTGGCGCTCCTTTCGTAGACACAAGACTTTATTGGCAATCCTTTTACCAACAAGTTTATTTTACAGATATTTACCAACATGTTCATTTACTAACATGTTTGTTTCATCTACACTGACAAGCTCACTTCGAGTAGTTTAAATTTTGTAATATAGATGGATAAGTAATTTTCTTATTAATTTATTGCGAACTTTTTCATTTCAAGAACAAGAAATTCTATCATATAATTAAACACTCAGCCTAAGTTAGGGTTAGTGTTAGAATTAGAATATAGTATAATCAGGCCGATTTGCAGTGAATTAAGCTTGTCAGTGAATTAATTGTCAGTGATTTAAATGTTGGTGAAACAAATATGTCGGTAAAATAAACATGTTGATGAATTAATTGTCGGTGATTTAAAAATATCTGTAAATAAGCTTGTCAGTGGAGTGATTGTCAGTGAAGTATTGTGTATACAAGTGAGTATCAGTGAAGTGATACTTATCCCCTTAAATACTATTGCATTAGCAATAAGACAATCCATCCTTTCACAATACTGATTCATGCTAAGAATCCTTTGCTTCTCTTATCCATTCTTTACAGTAATGATCGTAGTAATTCAAATTCGACAATCAACACACATTTCACTGATGCTCATTTCACCGGCAAAGCTTATTTTATATAGAAGATAAGTTTACAGAATAGTTCATTTTGTAGACAGTATATTTTACAGTCAGTTCATTTCAGCAGATGAAGTAATTCAAGTTATTGTTGGTAGCATTAAGGTTAGTGCAGTTTATAAGAAAAACTTGTCTTTAAATAAGCTGTTAGTGAAATATATTGTCTACGAAATGAACTTCTGTAGAATTAATTATCTATAAGTAATCTTTTTGGTAAAATGTGTGTGTGAAAAGTGATATATAAATCTATATCATCTGATTTCACAATAGAGTTACCTTGTCATTTCATTGACAAACCTCTTACTGAGTGCAAGCATTCAAATATTATTGAATAAGGGAAAGTGTAATAACATATAAGTTTGAACAGCTATTTTAAATAATTTAATAAAGAGTGATTTTAAGAACCTTACTTAATCGGTCTGAAGCAAAATTTTAATTAGTTGAAATTGAATAAACCAGCTAAATGAGTTCTATTTCAATAAATAAACCCCAAGATGTATTTTTTTAATCTAATTTATTAAATTTAAATCACATTTACACAATAAATTTTTAACAATTGACTGCTTAAAAACGCTCTAAAGTCATTTTTATTACACCTTTCTCAGTGAGTTTGTCAAATAATCTAACTGGCCAAAAAAACATTAATTGAATTATCATTTAAATATGTTTTTAAGTGGCTCTTTAAGGCGATTTGTTAGTGATAAAACATTGCTTTAGCTTATTGCAATTAATTGAGTTATTGCTAAAAATTCATTGAGAGAAATGTGGATTGATGTCTGAACCTCCAGATTTTA